GCAGAGTTGGAAGGGACCTTGGAGGTCTTCTAGTACAACCCCCTGCCTAGGAAGGAAACCCTATACCGTTATAGCAATATAGCAATAGTACTTAGACGTATATACCGCTTCATAGTGCTTTACAGCACTCTCTAAGCAGTTTACAGAGTCAGCATATTGCTCCCAATAATCTGGGGGCTCATTTTACCGACCTCAGGATGGAAGCCTTGAGCTGATCAGGACTGAACTCCTGGCAATGGGCAGGATCAGTGTACAATACTGCATTCTAACCACTGAACCACCATGGCTCTTCTGCTTTGATTATGCTTTGGTCTCCAGTAAAATGGGGAGCTGCAGCTGGAGGCTAGCAAAAATAAAACAAAGCAAATCCCAATGGTAGGTGAAGCTTCTTGTATTATGGTTATGCTACTTTTTTCTCTTCCTTTCTCACTATAGTGCAACATTTCTTTCTCTTTTTCTCCTGACAGTATACCAACCCACAAAGTGGAAGAGAAATGACAGCCCCCAAAATAAAGGAATATGTCTATAGAGTGTGATGCTGCATGAAACAAGGCAGAGGGACTGCAGTATCTCAGCCCCAGTTATAACTATCTCACATTATTGTTCGGTGAAAGGTTGAATATGATTTCAGCATTAAGTGTTCTTGTCTTCATTTTGCCAATTTTGTAGAGATGAACAGCTTTATTTGCGGCTACTAGTATCTGAAAAGGATCAACAACCTGCCGGAGAAAATATAAAGAGGTTTTCAACGGCTGTAATCGGTTCCAGAATAACAACTTGCATTTTTTTAGTCATTTTATAAAATGATTCTTTAGGAAAGCAATCCCCTACTTTACAGCTATGAAATGGAATAGTACGTTTAGGCTCTGTATTTATATTAAAATTTAGACTATACATCACATTTCTACCCATGGGAAAGCAAAATCACTAGAAACAATCTTCCAGAAGTTTGAGCAGGCAATTTAAAAAGTGAGGTGAAAATTATTTATCTCCTTAGAAGTTTCTACCCACTGGATTTTTTTTTCCAAACAGTATTCTGAACGTTAACTGAATACGTAAAATGGAGACAAGTTGCTTGGACTTACTTACTTGGACTTAATCTTCGTAAATGTCAACGTCCATAAGGNGCCACAGAGAAGGCCCTCCCCCGGGTAGTAGCCAGATGGCATTGGCTGGTAGACGGAACCCGGAGTGGCCATGGAGGCACAGAATAAAAGAAAATATCCCAAGAAACCTCTTCTGAAAATGTAGGAGAAGTGCAGAAAAAAGCCAGAAATTCAGTTCAGTGTACTAATATGATCTTCCTCTGAATTTCAGTAGCACAGGAGACATGACACTTAACAGCTTACAAGTTGCTTACCCCTAGTTTATAGGTTGTGTTATGACATTTACATTTTTTATTAGTTACATCAGTCTTCCTCGTTCTGCCACTCTCCAAATATGTAGCTGGAAGTTAGGAAAAGGCTTTGCTACATTAACATTTAGATTTCCAGGCAACTGAAACCAATCCAGATTTTAGGGAGGTGGGAAGAACGTATGGTATATATGTGAAAGATTATGCAAACATCTTTTTATATGCTTGCAATCCTATACATCCATATCCGAGAGAAAATTACCCTAGGTTTGATGATAATACCCAAGCGAATACCTGTTACACTGCATTGAACCTTCAATGTTTTGATTTATTAAAATGCTCGTTTACTCTATCTTCTTACTCAGAGAAGCTGAAACAAACCTTCTTAATTTTTTGTATGTCACTTATTTCAGAGAGATGATCAATGGAAACTTGCTGGCCGTCTACTTCACTTATTATGTCGTTCAGGTTCACAGTTTTCTCTTCGTGTTCAATCAAAACTATGAGGACTGCAGAGTCGCTATCAGAAATGCCGAATTTTTTGAAGGCATCTGTAATCTGACATTAAAGGAGAATACAGTCTTGTATTAGTCATAGTCATTAGCACCTGATCTAATCTAAATGTTATTTCAAAAATAACCATCCCATTTAGAAGATACAAAGATCTACATATTATTTTCACTTAACCGAGAATAAGGTGTTTAATATTTACTTCTTTCAGCTCAATACTTTCACTCAATATTGAAAAATTGATTTAAGCAGGGCTGTCAAACTTGCGAACCGAGAACCAGATGCATCATGCACTGGCCACGCCCATGTCCGGTTTAGCGAAGTTACAATATGTCATGTGATGACGTGATGCTGCGAGTTTGACAACCCCGATTTAGAGCGGAGTACAAATTAAGAATGGCTAACACTGGGGGGGGGGGGGTGTGGGTGGGTTATATCAACAGCAATACAATACAATACAATAGCAGAGTTGGAAGGGACCTTGGAGGTCTTCTAGTACAACCCCCTGCCTAGGAAGGAAACCCTATACCGTTATAGCAATATAGCAATAGTA